GTCTGTGAAATCAAAGAGCTGGCCTGTGGCTGTTTATTCAAACAGCATTTTTTCCTCAACTTCAATCAAGAGGGTACCTATGAATAACAAAGAATTTAAATAAATAAACCTAGATTCAATCTTCCCAAGAAGTAGTTGCTTTCAACAACTGCACAAAGATAACACTGAGTCTGTCAGACGTGACGAACGGGGGTCTAGTGGGGAAACGGGACGTTTGAAAAAGAAGGTTCAGGACATGTGGACGGTGTGCAGGACAAGGACAGAGCCCTCTCCCAGGCCTGGGCAGCACGTGCCACGTGATAAACCCTGGCTCCTAAGCCAAGGAAGAGTCCTGGAGAGTGTGGAGGCCGCCGTCTACGACATGAACACCCAACAGGGCACAGGACCCTCCTTTCGGGGAGAACAGCATCACCCCTTGTGCTCATTCATTCAGTCACCATCCACACCCACCCTTCGGGGCGCGCTCCCAGAACTCCAAACAGCACCCCGCACAGGATGGGGCCTAAGGAGCTTGTGCCCCATGGACGACTCTTTCCACCAGCCAGGAAGGTGAGGGACAAACTGCCTCCACCTGTCCTGCCAAGAGGGCAGGCAGAGGCCACGCACCTACCTGTCCAGGTGATAGGCAGGTGCAAGGCACATACACACATGCACCTGGACCAGGTGATGAGCAGGTACAGACACAGGACACCAGGAAGCAGACGTAGAACTCCAGGAGGAGCAGGACGGTCACACCTCTAGGACAGATGACACACAGTCCCTGCAGGCTGGGCCAGGTGAGGTGTGCCCAGAGGATGCCAGGGGCCCCGCCCTTCCTCCCCTGCCCCACCCGGGTCCCAGCCCCAGGGAAGCAGCAGTGGTGTCTGGGGAGCTGCCCATGCTGGTCCTCTTCTAGCAGAGGAGCCCCTCCTGTGTCCGCACTCACTTCCCCGCCACCCCAGGGTCCCTCTAGCCCTGGGAGTGCCTGAGAGACACTCTCCTCATGCAGGAAGGCCGAGGGCTGCACAGACCTGGCTGCCATGCACTGCCCTCTTCCTGGGCCTCATCTGGAGGGGGCTTTTCTAGAAAAAGTTGGATCCCAGGTAGGGCCATCCAGGTGGCCAGTGTGTGCAGTGTCTGGGGGTGGGGGTGGCTTCCATGTGTTTTGAATTGACTCCACTCGGAAGGTTCATTAAGAAAGTGGTACAATCATTTCTCGGCCTTTTGGCTGAGATCAAGTGTGAAGAAAGTGGTATATCTGGAGGAAATGTGGAGTTTTTCTGGGGTTTTTTTTAATAAAGAACAAAAAATGTCAAACTCAATTTTGAGTTATAATGGTTAAATGTTATTAAAGTTATTGTATTTGTGTCCCTTTCCAGAGCCGACTTTTTCTTATTTTAACATTTCTGAACATTTGTCAGCAAGCATCTGGAAACCAGGGTGCCCGTTTGGTCTGTTCCCTCTCGCAGAGGCTGTCATGACGCCAGTGGTGCGTGTTCTGAGGTTGGACGGGTCGCAGAACTGAGTACATTTAAAATTAACAGCTGAGAAGGAGCAGCCCTGCCCAGGCCAGCAGGCTCACGTGGCCAGCTCCTCCGGGAAATGGGGAACTGGTGTGCAGCTCAGGCTGCCCCCCGAGGCGGGGGCACCACGGGACTGTGACTGCGGGAGTCCAACCTGAATCTGAAAAGCGAAGGACGTCTGGCGACCTCTGACGGACGGACCCAGAATAACACTTACTGCGGGGTTATTAGCAGATGGGCAAGGCCGAACAAGGCGGCCGGAATCAGGGCCAGAGCGAAGGTGCTGGTGAAATGTTCGCCCTGAAGCTGGTGGTACAAGACACAAACCCCGTCAGGGGCCCTGGCTTCCCAGACACACCAGGCTCTTCCCCAGGGCGCCGGGATGCCCAGAACCACTGCGGGGCTGAGAAGGGCGGCACCCATGCTCACAGGATGTCCCAGGGCCTCAGACTCCCGCCACCTCCGACCCCTCCCAACCCCGGCACCCACCTTTCTCGCTCAGCCTGCTTGTACTTCAGGGTGGAGACGTGCAGGTCTGCCATCTCCAGCTCCATCTGGCGGGCTTCCAGAAGGTGCCGTTGTACCTGCTGACGCATGTCCCAGGGGTGGTGTAGACAACGTTTGTAGAGAAAAATGAGCAGTTTCTGAGCTTTTCTGAAGTTGTTCTCAACACCTTCCGCTGCTGATCATGGGAAGAAAAGAAGGAATGCTGTCAAACTCTCCACTTATCAAAGAAAAGAACTCTTATGGTCCCTCCTTCTGGGTCCTCGCCCACTGCAGTCTGGGGGGCCTGCTGTGGGGATCTGGGATGCAACTGTGGCTCCACCATCTGCTGGTGGTGAGACCCTAGCTGAGTTACCTCATCGTCAGTATTGGGGCCCTCGTGTCTGTAAGTGGGGTCACAGCACCTGAGTGCTGGCACCGTGTGGAGGGTTTCTGGGCCCCACATGTGAGCAGTGGATGGTGTCCAGCACACAGCAATGAACCTGGTTCTTTGAAAATATTCATAAAATCAACAAATCTCTAGCAAGCGTGACAAAGAAAAGGAGAAAAAGACACTAACAAGTTCAGGAAAGAAATGTGACTTTACCACCAATCCTGCAGACATGAAGAGGATGATAGACACCACGAACAACAGCACACATGGAAATCTGACAGCTCAGATCAGTGACCTACCCCTTGAAACACACAGACTATCGCAACTCACCAAACAGGACAGATCATTACAATAGCCCTAGAATTGCTCAAGGGATTTAATTCATAATTTTAAAATCCATGAAAAAGTAATCTCCAGGCTGAGGTGATTTCAGCCGAGAATTCTACCAAACATTTAAATAAAAATTAACCAATGAAACTAGAACACTCCCTTACACCATACACAAAAATCAACTCAAAATGGATCAAAGGCTTCAACATAAGGCAACATACAATAAACCTCCTAGAAGACAATCAAGGCAAAGCATTATCTCACTTACATCTGAAAACTCTTCTCCTAGGCCAGTATACCCAGCAATAGAAATAAAAGCAAGAATAAACAAATGGGATCTAATGAAACTTACATGCTTCTGCACAGCAAAGGAAACCATGAACAAAACAAAATGACAAAGTACCATATGGGAGAACATTTTTGCAAAAGATGAAACCAACAAAGGCTTCATCTCCGGAATAGATGAGCAGCTCATATGACTTAAGAAAACAAAACAACCCAATCCAAAAATGCGCAGAAGACCTAAAGAAGCAATTCTGCAGTGAAGACTACAAATGGCACATGTGAAAATGCTCACTGACACTAATTATCAGAGAAATGGAAATGAAAACTACAAAGCACCAGTCAGAATGGCTGTCACTTCAAAGTTCATGAACGATAAATGCTAGAGACGGTATGGAGAAAAGGGAACTCTCTTACACTGCTGGTGGGAATGTACTTTGGTGAAGCCATTATGGAAAACAGTATGGAATTTCCTCAAAAAACTAACAACAGACTTACCTTATGATCCAGCAATCCCACTTCTGGGTATATATTCAGAGGAAACTCCAATGCAAAAAGGTACCTGCACCCCACTATTCATAGCACCACTATATATAATAGCCAAAAGCAACCAACGTGGAAGCAACCTAAATGAAGAAACAGGTGGCTGGATTAAGCTGATGTAGTATATTTATACAATGGAATACTACTCTGCCATTAAGAAGGTTAAAAGAATGCTATTTGCAGCAATAAGGATGGACCTAGAGATCGCCATTCTTAGTGAAGTGAGCCAGAAAGAGAAAAATACCAAATGATATGACTCATATGTGCAATCACACCCCCACAGGGACAGCTGCAAAGGATTCCAAAAAGAAAGAATTCCTGCACCAAGAAGTCTGCATCAACCAACCACAGCCCCTCCCCTTTTTAGTAGAAAAGGAGCCTGAAGTCTGACTTGGGGAAGAGGGTTCTCCAGGACATTAGTCGACTGTGTTCTTGGTCTATAGCTGTCCATGTGGGTCAAGTCATGGTGCCCCTGTACAACCTCTAACAAAACAAGTTATTTTCTATTCTGCAACTTGTTGTTTTTATATCAGTGCAAAAGTGTTAATGTGCTTAAAGATCAGAGCCTTGAGAACAGGCTCTCCTGTTTATGAGACAGACAAGACTAAGCCTAGGTAACAGGGCACAGGGTTAAAGCCACAGGAAGAGATCTAGTATGGAGTCAGATTTGTTCTTTTCTATTACGTATCATCTATTTTTATGGTTTAAGTTTGCAAGAATTAAGTTTAGCCTTTTCCCACTTTAAACTGTGCAGTTCAGGAGCATTAAGTGCACTTGCAATGCTGTGGGATCAGCACCCCTGTCTGGGTTCAGACTCCTTCCTTCCTCAGAGTAAAACCTTGTATCCGAAGCACACCCCACGTCCTCCCTCCCCTAGCCTGTGACAAGCCCTCATCCCCTTGCTCTCTGTCTTTACCTATCCTGGAGGTTCCCTATCAATGACATCATATAAAAGGTGGCTTTTTGTGTCTGCCCACATCTCTTAAGTTAGGACAGGTAAATCTTTTTGTTTTTACGTGAATTAGCATTTTGTATTTTGAAAGGAAGATCCAGATGGATTAAAGATGAGATATACTAAATGAAGCCCTTTTAGTAACTGTGCATAATCTTGGGGTAGGCACTGTTGTTCTAAGTGTGAAACCAGAACCAAAGGGAGATGCTTAGCTCTTCCTGTGGCAAAATAAAACCAAACAAAACCGAAAAACAAAGACCAGAAAAGACAGCTCAAAAGACAAACCACAACCTGAAAAAGCATTCCTCTTGACGCAAGGTCAGAGAAAGGTTTCACACCCATGTGGTCTAAACACCTCTCGAAACCCAGTGTTCTGAAAAGACACAGAACACACACAGGCAGTTTCAACAAGAAGCAGTGCAGGTGGCCAGTGTGTGTTAGAGGTGCTTGGCCTCTCGGGTGAGGACACAGGCAGACAGACACACTGTGGGTCTTTAGCCTGGTGACAACCAGCCCTGGTGACAACGTGAAGAGGCAGAGGCCCCAGCAGATCCCCTGGAGGGAAGAGCGAAAAGACACTCCTCTCTGGGGGAACAGTGAGCAGGACACTTCAAAGGGCCACAGGTGCATCCCTTCCCCAGCAGTGCTGGTCCTTAGAGCTGATCCCACCAAAGTGCTTGCACAGCTTTCAAAGATGTGTTTTCTTCAGTAACATGAATTCAAAATAATATGTCATCAAGGCATTTTCAGAAGTGCCTGCCCTGGGCCCTAAAAATACACACATAAAAATACATACATATACACATAATCGTATGCACATACGCATACAGGAAAGAGACAGGCTGAAACACAGAGGCAGAGGGAGAGAGAGACAGAGAGAGAGGCACTGAGAGACAGAGAGAGAAGGAACACTGGAGCTGGGAATGAGTGGAACTGACGCACATTGTCTCAAGTCAGTCTGCATGTCAGAACCCGGTCCCAGTGTCCATCCACCCTGCAGGGGAGAGTGTGGGGATCACACAAGGACGTGTGACCAGAGGGCAAAAAAGCAGGGAGCCACTGTGGGGCAGCCCACGCCAGAGGCCGAGATGGGGCACTGGGCCTGAATCTGACATGACAGAATGACCTTGGAGGTCGCATGCCGGAACGGACGTCAGAGTTGTGCTTAATTTCAACCTGCCAACAGGGAGCTGGGAAGCAGGCGGCAAGGAGGGTGACTCTCCCCAGAGCCCAGGGCAGACCCCGGCCTGTGTGGGGTATGCCCTGCTCCCCACCAGCCCTCTGTGGGGCCCTTCCTTTGCTAAGTCTGTGCATGAGCTCCCTGTGATGCCAGCCCGCAGAGGTGACAGGTGCAGTAGGTGTTAGTGGTTCTAGAGACAGGATGGCTTTCCTAGGAAGCAGGGTCCAGAATGATCCCCACTGGGCCGATGGGGGATTGGGGAGACCCTGAGAGGCAGGTGGCTTGTCCAGGGTGACAGCACTGCTGGTGGGGGAGCCAGGTCTGAACCCAGCTGTGTCCTCAGAGCTGTGGCCCTGGCTGCATCCAGGCCTCCCCAGGGCTATAGGAGGGGCCGAGTTGGTGTCACTGTGTGGACATGGCATGGGGTGGGAAGTGAGCCATCGGCAGCCCAGAGAGGCCCTTGGGGAGCTTTGTGTAAGGAGGAAGCTTGGGGAAGGGGACACCAGGAAGTGACCTCACTTCCCTGGCAACAGAGCCCAACAGAACTTGGAACCCAGGTCACCAGGCACCTGCTCTGTAGAGAAGAACCCTTCTCAACTGACTTGGCTGGTGAACTCAGCTCAGCTCAGA